CCTGAGTTGTCAATCATCTTTCCCTGGCTTCCTCCTTGTGCTGGTGTAGACCTATACCATAGGGCTTATAGTAAGGTACCATACTAAGTGTGTGAGATCTGGAATCAAGAGAAAATGAGATCATTGATGATTCATACTGGACACTTAATGAATCGAAAGGTTCCCCTGGCTGTAAAATGAGGAAGACAGCACGCACCTACTTCAGGAGCTGTTGAACACTGGGAAACCTGAAGTTCTTAGGATCATGCTTATCAGAGCAGGCATTCAACCAACTCTAAATATTAATGTGTCATCACATTTTGCAGATTGGCATGCCCGTCTCCTCTGTTGAATTTTTATCTTGTTTTAGTTACTAGAACTTTGGATGGTGCTAATTTAGTATGGAGAAGATATTCAGGTTTCCAGAAGTGAGGGAGGAAGAAGAGAGAGGCATGGCTATGAACTAGGATTCAATTCCATCCAGAAAAACTGAAGACCTGGGCTCGAGACTCAGTTTTCCCTCAGACGAACTGTGCAATTGTACCTCTGTGGATTTTTCAGTCTATGCAATGCATTATTTTTATCACCAAAATGGGCTTGCAAGGACTCACATCAGAATACAGTTTTCCAGATGACTTGAGGTAACACAAACATACATGTTTGATAAATTATCAATCTGTCAAATTATCATAGCTCTGAGATCCAGCTTCACTGTGACTTGTTTTCATCTAATAGTTACTTTGTGACTCCTGTTGACTGTTCATCCATGTAGGATAAGGTCCTCTGTTAGGTGTTTGTGTGTGTGTGGGGGGGGGGGTCTTTGATTTCAGGACATTTTCAGTGTGGCCAGGAGATTATAAACCACACTGTCTGCCTGCAGCCATCACAAATGGCTTGAGAGACGCTCTAGACAAGGCCATGGACCTCAGCGGTCCACAATTAGTGCCAGCAGCAGCAGCCACAGCCACTGCCTCAGAAGCCATTCCCTAAGATAGGGTATATGTGGCACGTGCTCACATTCACCTGCTGTTGTCCTTGTCAGACATCAACAGGATCAGCTTCTCATTTCTCTGCAACATACTCAAAAGTAGCCAATGGCATTGCCTGTGAAATAAATGATGCCATGTCACGGCAGGGTGGGGTGGGATGCCTACTGCTAGTGGAATGGAGAGTTAGGACTGATTACTGTGTAGCTACCATCCACACTCTGAGCTTTGAGTGTGTGCTGTGACTTTGCTCTTCCCCTTCACACCCAGAGTCCCTCCCTCCTTCCTCCAGTGTGACTCCTTAGTCTGAGACCTGGGAAGCTCTAGGGCAGTTTTCTGTGGAGCTCTGCATCGCAGAGGTCTTAGACTGTGGGGCCCAGGGATCTTTCAATTGAGGACTGTCTCTCACTCTGAACACCCTAGGAACGAGGTCTGCTTTCCCCATCTCCAGTCCTTAGCCCACTCTGCTCAAAATGATGGCTGAAGTGGCATAGAAACGTACCCTTCACTATGGGTAGTTTGGATTCCTCAGAGTGCCCAGGGAGTGTTGTTCATTTTCTGTCACCAAGGTAACATTGACACAGTGAGAGTGACTTAAAACATCACACACCAAGGTTTTGGCAAGGCTGAAATACTTTTTACAGACTGAGGGTACATTTCCATTCTCTTTTGTTCCCATTTTCTAGAGACGGCACACACTCTAGCTCCTAGCCACTTCCTGTCTTCAAAGCCAGCAAATCAAACCTGCCTCACATCACTGAGACCCCCCCCCCAACTCATGTAATTCTCCTATGTCCCTCCTCACTCTTGAGAGAACTTGGATTTCATTGGTCCACCTGGATCGTCTCCCAGTGATTTGGTTCAGCCTCAGGTCAGCCCGGGCACAGTGTGAACTCTGCCATCTTTCCTCCTTTGCTGATGGCTTTGAGAGGTGACAAGCCTTAGGTGAGAGAGGCTGCCCGGGATGTCAAAGTCTTCAGGAGGCTGCCACCCTGTCCCCCCCCAGGTAGGACAGTAACCTCACGCTCCCTAGCTCTCTGAAACAGGATTAGCAACCAGTGTCCCGCCAGTCAGCCACCTGCTTCTGCAGACGGTTTTACAGGACACAGACACCCATTTCTGTGTTGCCTGTGGGCTTTCACAGTAACACAGCAGCTGAGAATTTGCAAAAGACCAATAGCTAGCCCCAAAACCTAAAAGTAAAGACCCCCGACTCCCCCCTGTGGCACTCTATAGGTCTCTGGTCCTGACATTAACTCTTTACAGCATCACGCCATATAAACGTCTTCTTCATGTGTGTTGGTTCACACATCTTCCCTCTCCCACCTTCATAAAATAGCCATGCTCTATCACCATCCTCAATTGCTGCAAGACCATTCAACCCTTACAGCTACTCTAAACACCACTGAGTATCAATCCGCTTTACTTTGATAGATGCCATTTCCTCTGCTCAGAATGCATTTACCATTTTCCTCTCTCCCTTGCCACATACACTCCTATTCATCCTACAGAACCCTGCCAATGTGCACCTTCATCCAGGAAACTCCACTCAAGGAAAGCAATCAGTCTCCCTGGAATGGTCTCTAGGGACTATAAGTACCTCAGTGGTAGTAACTGTCATGTTTATTCTTAGTATCTTCAAGCTTGGATGGAGAAACTGTAGGCAGAATGGTTGTGCTTTCGGTGGATGTTAGTTCTGTTCTCCGGGTCCGAGTATTACCACCCGGGAAGCAAAGAGTTGAGTAAAACATGATTGGCCTCTTAGAGCCCTTTTGGTTTTAATAATCTTCTCCATCAGGGAAGACTTGCTGTGGTGGCTTACAGTTTCAGAGGAGAGAGCAACCTCCCACATTAAGTGTGCGCCCTGAAGAGTTGGAAATCCCCCCACACATTATCACTCATAGCTTTGTTATTGCTACACACACAGGCCCCACTGGGGCCTGGTGAAATGTAGAAAGAGCAAGGAGGTGCTAAGATCATCTGTAAATACCCCTTGCTGACGCTTCTCCAGCAGCTAGGCCATAAACATGTTCAGGCATATGGCACTCCTCTGTGGCATCCCATGACTGATCTCTGTCCATTTGCTGGAGACCCACCCTCAATCCTGTGGCCACACGGGGATCAGGGCATGTCACATCATCCAGACATCTTTCCACGTGTCACCTCCCTTCCTCGCATCTCCTGTGTCCCACTCCACAGCTAAAAACGTGGTGTGCGCTAATAATTTGCACTCCATCGCTTGTGAAGATCTATTTTTTTTAGCTTAGTATATAACTGTTTCCCTTCATCCTGGCCTCAGCACCTCTATTTCCCTGCATGGCTCTCAGCCTAGGTCCTGACAGGAGGGTGCTCTGCCACTACTAACCCTGCCACTTCCCAGTGAGAGCCCCCTTAAATACACTCACTGTCCTAATTGCCCCCGGCTTTCCTCCTCACACCTCGCCCCCATTCACGATAGCGGTGCCTGCTCCAAATCCAGTCAGCTTCCATCATTTCAGACACTGGCCTGCCCTGTTTTTCTTCAACACTAAGTCCGGTGTGACATCTATTTGCTCTCTGTGTTTCATTTCATTTGGGCCCTGCCCTTCTGCCTGTGGGCACTGCTACCTGGCTTGTTATTATGTCCTCTGTATTTATGTTCTGTGCCCATCCCAGGCCACATCATTCTTGAGGGCAGCAAGGACTGAGTCTTTTGCCCAATAGAGCGTTGGTTCTTGCTGTCCCCAGTGCAATCCACTGCAAGGTCCTTATACCCAGTGATCCTTTCCTGTCCTATCTACCACTTCCTGTCCACTAGCCTGTCATTTGTAAATGAATGGTAATAAATCTACCTTATCGAGTTTTGTTGTTTTGTTTTTTCAAATTATTTCATTCAAAATGTATATAACAACCTCAGCTGGTGGTTGTAATGGTAAATATCACCATTTTAATGGTGCCTCGATATGCCTCAGTCTTTGGTGTACAGGCTCTTAACAGTTGGAATTAGAGAAAGCAACAAACAATTACCATCAGACATAGACATTGGTTTTGCCCATAAATCTGGAAAATTCTATACTCAGCCCTATAAGTTACATTAGATTAATACATCTTCTTTCATTTGTATATGAGGAAGACATCTATTAAGTGCCTGCTGTTTAGCTGGTGCTCCTCAAGGCTGCCATGAGCAATTTCAGTGGCCTTTCTTACAGATGAATCATTCATTCATCCTCAGCTCAGACCGACATTCCCTGCCCCAGGAGAAGTGCAGCATGGGAACCGTGAAGTCACAGCATAAGAAGAGGGCTGGGCTGGGAATCTCCCTCCATCTCATCCTTTGTGGTCTTCTCCTGAGACCTGGGCTATTAAGTGTCAAGGAGGGCTTTGCTTGACTGGCTGGCTAGGTTAGGTAGTTCCTGGTCTACACTACAACTGCTGAGAATTCATTCAAAGTGCAGCCACAGCTCGTTCATTCAATGAACCCAACTAATGAATAAACAGAGTCAAGTAAAAGTTTGCAAAATCGAAGCTGTAATTCAGCAAAGCTGACTCAACCTCAAAATGTCTGCTCTGTTTCTGCAGTGACACTGTAGCTCAAGCTACTTTAAAAATGGCTAGTATTCTAAGTTTCCTGCTCTGTCAAATAACTTAATGTGTTCCTAATTCAAAGGAACCTTTTAAACCAGATAACACGATAGTTTACAAGGGCCAGAAGAAACACTGTGGAAAAATAATGAACTCCTAACCTTGGCCAATGAGAAAACTACTTGGAACAGTTTAGGATTACATTGTCTAGATTGTCTGTTTTAAGGTTGTTCTGAATCAGTGTTCAGTTGATATATGTGTGAAGCTAGCAAAAAAAAAAAGTCAAAACGGCAGAAGTGGCCTGCCAGAACCCCAAATTCCCACTAAAATCCTTGTCTGTCTGTCTGTCTGTGTTCCGGGGAGATTGATTTTAGCCAGTATTTTCTGCCTAGCCTGCACGTTTACATTGGCCAGGTTTTCCTGGTAAATATTGGTTTAAAGCAAACACTGACATCTTTAATCACATTTAAACAGACCCTGCATTATTCTGCAGCAGACCCTGTATTAGAACGGAAGACGCAGCGAAGGACCAGGTACAGCTGATGGCTACAAACTCCGAGAATAAACCGGGAAAAATCAGAACTAAAACTCCTCGGAGGGAGAAAGGCCAGGAAAACCACTGCTGAAATATAAAATTTTGTTTTTCTAAAGTCTGGAGCTGTGTTCAGTGAAGTGACGTCGTTTACAGACCCGGGGAACTCGGGGTAGCAACGGAAGCGCTACTAAATAAGGAGAAGGTGGCCTAAGGAGAGGCGCTAGCTGTGACAGACTCAGCGCTGGCCTCCGCCAACTCTCAAACTATTCTTGTTTGCAATTGTGTCAACTTGGGTTGCCATGAAACCTGGGCCCGAATTTCACATCTCCTTGCAAGTTCTGGATCTGTCACAAAGCAACTGTTTGTCTCCTCACGAAGGCTGCAAAAGGCAGGCTGTTAACCTTTCTCAACCCACACTCCACGGATCTCCCCCCTCTGCTTGGCTTGTCCTGTCTATATTCACGTCCAGGAGTCCTCCATGCTCATCTAGAACCCCCTAAACTCTTTGAGAGTTCAAATTTCCTGCTGGGTGTTCCTTCTTCACATCTACCACCTCTGAGCCCCACCTCCACCCCCCACATAGACACAAACCTCGAGAGGCTTAGATGCTGGCTAAGAAACTCTTCAAGGGGACCGACTGTTTATCTCTAAAATCTATGATTACCTCTGCCTAATGGAAACATCATACACCCTGTGCTGGGAATGATGATGGGATATGAGAGCAGGGATCTAGTGGAGATGAATGGCCAGCTCTTCCTGAAACTACTTGAGACCAACAATGGAGTTTGGGGTTGATTAGTTGGCTTGATTTATTTGAGGCAGTCTTTCTATGTATTGTTGGCTGGCCTGGAACTCACTGTGTAGATCAGACTGGAGCCAACTCAAAGGGATCCACCTGCCTCTGCTGGGACTAAAGGCATGCACCACCATGCCTGGCTTCTTTTCTGTTGTTAAAAAATTAAAATTAAGTTTCATTAGCTCCTCAAAGAGAATGAGGGAATGGAACTTCTCGGAAAATGGTGTCTGAAAAGGTCAGGTCAAATGGGATGCTTAGCACCAAATCTGGGTTCGAGTAAGACTCTTAGAGTAATTTTGAAAAAGGAAAATTCCCAGAAACCAGTCTGAGAGAAGAGGCACTCACTGGAATTTAGCTTCAGAATGGCCCCAAAGGCGAGTTCGCATGTAATTCATAAACTGATACAGTGTTAGGCATCAGCTTTGAATTCAGAGCGGATTAGAGACTGGGTTCCAGCCAATACTTACTGGACAAACTGTGTAGCCTTTCTGAGCTTCAGTTTGTTTGTTAAGCAGGGAGGTGGATCATAACTATTTACTGGGGTTGTTGCAGATATTAGAAGAGTTGATATACACAATTTCTCAAGTCTTGCTTGACTTACAGTAGGAAAAACAATGTCTGCTTGGGACTTGCTCAGCACAGAGCCATGAGAGCCTCTGTGATCACTCTGGGGCAAACTCAGTAAGCTGAAAGTTCAGTTCTACTCTGTCTGGGACCTTGAGAAAGTTACTGAATTTTCCTGTTTCTTGTCTATAAAATAAAATTATCTATTACATATATGTATATGTATATATATATATATATATGTGCATATATATATATATATATATATATATATATATGATAATATCCAGCTCATCAATTTAGGATACAGATTACATTGGCTAATGGATGTAAGGTGCTTAGAAACAGTGACTGACTGGGTTAGCTCCAGTCTTTACCATCATTAGCACTACTTTGAAAGCATTGACAGCAGGATGAACACATAGGCTTTGGAGTCTTCTGGTTCTAGTTACTGCCTTATACTCTGGAACAATATGGCCCAATAGAAATATAGTGAAAGCCCCATAGGTAATTTAAAAAATTCTAACAAACACATGGAAAGAAGTCAGTACATTTTTTTACAATTTATTTTTACTTTATATGTATGAGTGTTTGCCTGCATGTGTGTTTATATATCACGCGCATCCTCGGTACCCTCAGAAGCCAAAAGAGGGTATTAGACCCAGTGGAGCTGGAGTTACAGACTGTGAGCCACCATGTGGTTGCTGGCAACTGAACCCAGGTATTCTGCAAGAAAGTCAAATACTCTTAACTAATGAGCAGTCTCTAAGATCCCAAGTACAATAAATTTTAATAAATTACTTGGCTTAAGTTATATCTAAAATACTGTTGTTCCAACCTGTTATGAAATATAACCATGTATTGAGCTATTGTCTTTAATTTTTTTCATAATAAGCAAAATGTTACATCTGCAGCACATCTTATATCAGACTAGCCACATTCCCAGTAGATACCCCTGGGAGCTACCTCTCATACTGGATGGAACAGGACTCCCAGATTCTAAAGCAGTGTGAGTGGGTCTCTGTTCTTCATGGCACATGGAATGCCAAATGCAAAGCCACTCTCAGGTGACCTGCCTAAAGTCCTATGTGACCTGAGTCACCAAGATAGCTCTGTGTAGACTTTTCCCTAGAGCCAGATGAAAGAGATTTTAGCTAATAATGTTTTGTGAGATCAGAAAGCTACTGGTCTCTTCTCCACTAACCATAATGAACTCAACAGGAGACACAATACTTCTGCTACCTACTGCCTTTTGATTTTTCTTTTATTCTAAAAATAAAGACTGAGTCCAGGAGAGATGGCTCAGGGGTTATGAACAATGTACTGCTCTTGAGAGGGACAGGAGTTCAGTTCCCAGCACCCATAATGGGAGACTCACAAACACTGGTAACTCTGGCTCCATGGTATCAGATGCCTTCTTCTAGACTCTACTGGTACCTACACTCATACATGTGCACACCAGTGTGTACATACACATGTGTGTGCATGTGTGTACACATACAGATACGTAATTAAAAGTAAAATAAATCTTTTTAAAAACAAAAATAAAGCTAAAATTAAGATGATGATCCCTTCAATTACCTATGAAACTCACCTTAATTTGAGACCACATTATTTCTTAAGCACCTCTCTTTTGCTTCAAATAGCAATCTCTGACAACAATTTACTTCATGCATGTCCTTCACCATGCTGCCTAATATTACAACTTGCTACAATCAAGGCAACAATTTCTCTTCTTAAAAGTTCATTACATATAGGGAAAAAAAAATGAGAACTTGGAGCCAGAAGGACTAGAATCAAGTCTCTGGGTCCTATGTTCACTAGTTAAGAGATTTTGGGTAAACACTGAAACCCTCCAAGCTTCAGTCTCTTTCCTTATGATCTAGGGACAACCAGAGTGCTCCCCTAAGGTACGATGAGGATTAAAAAGGATGGCACATAGACGGTAATCCCTAACTGCAAAGCACTAGACAGCTATAAAGTGGATTAAGAGATTTATAAAGCACTTTGCACATACCATTCTTTTGATGCACAGTTTTCAATGGCCCCATGTTACCTGCCAGATAAAGCCAGATTCCTTGGTTTAGCACAAAACATTCTCCTGGACAAGCTCTGCTTGTGACTATTACCCCTGCAGTTTTATCTAACTCTACCCGAAGCCAAATGTGCTAGTGAAAGAACACTGGCGTATCTGCTGCCCCAAGTGGGACTGGATGGTGTGGCTGGCTTCCACCCTTTCATCATGTGCTCCCCTGCTTGCTTCATTGTTCCTGCTCTCAAAACCCCACTCATTCTTCCCCATCTTCAAGTCTCCCCCACCTCCTGTCCTGATGTCCTTAAGCTCTAGCTACGCTGTCTCTGAATTTTGCTCATATATATCTTTTACAATTAATATATACATATATATAATTTTACAATTAAAAGCATTACTTAGCATTCTAGTAACATTTGGTACATAAAAATTTACAAATAATTTGTTGAACCTAGGTGTTTGAGGGAGTTAAAATTTCCAAATGCTTTTTGTAGAAGTTCTGTCAATAGACAGAATGTCCCCACATTTTTAAACTAGCCACTCTAAAAACCTAGGCAAGAATGCAAAAGAAACCCAGAGATCATTACTTTTTGTAACATTGAATAAATCACCAAGAAAGAACATGGCATATTTGGAGACTAGTAAAAAAGGACAAGGAACAAGAATTATTGGTGCCTTCTCTTTGGTACTATTATCAGCAAAGGTCCCTCGCCCTTCAATAATGGATATCCCAATATTCTGATATTTGGGGCAAGTCAACAGGTCCACCAATATCTTCTGCTTTTAAGGTTAGCATCTAGTGGGGTGATAAAAGCAGAAACAGTTGGGTAAAATATGGCCAGTTGAGAGCAGTGGTCAGCATGGGTTGTGAGCGCTCAGAGAAAGGAATTTAATTCAACCTAAAATGCTTAGGAAATGGGAAAGAGATGGCTTCGAGCCAAATCTTCGAAGATAAATATGCACTCGCCAGGTGCAGGCAGACGCAAAGGCTGGAGCCAAGACAACTCCAACATCTCTCAGCAGTGAAGCTGAGAAGAAAGGAAATGTTCAAAGCACTTGGCTACCTGCTCTCCCGGTTTTATGCTTACCTAGTATATGGTATATGGGTATAATTTGGTGGTAAGAGGACCAGAAGGTACTAAAAGCCTTTCATAAAACTATTTTTCTATATCTATTAATGCATTAACTTCTGACTTGTCATTAGATTCTTGTGTCTAGGACTAGTTTGAATGAACTCAGAACATTCTGATAAAAGTCATGTTTCTGGCCCTGAAAATCTGAAGGGATGGTGAGTTTTGAACTTCAACCGTATACCACCTCTCTGGAGGTCAAGAGGTTTTTCCCTCTTAGATGTCTAAAATCCACGTCTCCCTCGCCATCTCCAGTAGTGCTGTACAGTCCTAGCCACCATCATCCCTTGCACAAGCAGCTGCAATTTAAAAGTGAGAATATTTCAGAGTGTACCAGTTGCCAGAACAAAATATTTGAACTGGGTAATAGAATTTTATTTATTGCAATTTGGGAGGCTGAAGTCCAAGATGAAAGTTCCATCAGGTTCATTGTCTGGGGAGAGCTGTTTGCTGCCTTAAGATGGCATCTTGTAGCAAGGAAGTCCTCTGCAGGTGACAAGAATGTGTCCTCCCTTGGGAGGCAGTGACAGAAAGCCTAGGTTGCTTCAGCCCTTTAACAAGGTTGTGGATACCATTCATGAGGGCTCTACACATATAACTTATTTACCTCTTGAAGGACTCACCTCTTAGTTCTACTGCGCATAGTTAAGATTCCTTATATAAACAGATACTATTGCTCTTATTGTGTGGGTGAGGAACTGAAATGGGCACACAGAGCTTAAGTAATTTCTTCAAGATTGGTTGACAGCAAGAGATGAGTCTAGACCATAAGCCCCAGGGCACTGTAGCTCCAGGGACCAAGTTTTAAATCACTACTAATGATTAAGTTCCTTTAACTTTGGAGGCATACATTTTTTGTTGTTGTTGTTGTTTTTTTTTTTTTTTTGATTAAATGAGCACAGATTTTCATTAACAATCAAATGCCCAAGTCAGAGTCACTCTGCAGAGCAGATTTCTCAGTTGGGTAATGGATGCGGGTGGGGCAAGAACCAAGAGGAATGGAGCTACTGACTGGCACACCAGGACCTTGCTTTTCGTTGTCTGTGTGCCTCCAAGAAAGGCTAACTTCAATGGTGACCATGTGTTTATAACATGGCCATGGCTTATTAAAAAACCAAAAACACAGGACGTAGAGTCAGAGAATTTAGGTTCTCTCTATCTCCCTCTCTCTTTTCCTCCCACCTTTTTCTCTTTCATTTCAAGTCTTTGGGGTTAATTGTGGGACGCGCCTAAGCCTCAGTTTTCTCTTGCACATCATGGAAACTACACATCACCATCATTACTCTATCCCGTGGGGTTTATTTTTCAGGGAAAAAATGAGACATGCAAGTGAAAGTGCCTGGTAAACTGTCAAGTTACATACACAAATGTTAGTTGTGATTGGAGATTTGTAACTTGGAGTCTTGAGGACTTGCTAAAGACAGCAGCATCAAAATGACCTACTTTCTGCTGTTATTTCCCTTGAGGGCTGTGAAACTCTCCAGTGAATCCACCCAGAGTGAAGTCCCTGTCATAAGCAATTTCAATATCCCATATTTGTAAAGACACATGAACAAAGTCCAGCCTAAAGAAAGCCCACCTAGGGCTCGTCAACTGTGTCTTTGGAAGAATTGCATGACAGAGCATGTAAGTGTTCTCCAATGGCTACACTTTGTTCTAAGAATGTTCTACTTAAGGTTCAAAACACATGTTTTCCTGAGATGTTGCCTTCCAACATGAGTGTGTTTCATTAAGTATTCATAAAAATTAAATACACAGCTTTGAGCACCATAGCTTGACAGGAAGAAAGATGCTGTTAATTACAAGGAACAAAATCATAATGAAGATCACCAAATAAACAGGCCAATGGCATCAACCTGTTTAAATAACGAGCCTTATCTCCATGTGGATGAAACTATGTAACATATTTAACATATATTTATTCTGATATGGAGAAGAACATAAAAATGAAATAAGCATGCTAACTTTAAGGTACTTAGCACCTTTCAAGACACCCAAACTAAAGACATCTACAGAGCTAGAAGCTTGGGCATAAAGTTAGCGTCCTTAGCTGAGTGTAAAGAATCTAACAAATATACACATCTCACTTCCTTGGAAAAACAGAAAGGAGACTGGTACGGCCTCTAAGTCCATAAACTTACCATTTAAAGAACGGCAAATGGGTTTCTGATTATTCAACACCATGGACAGTTTGGTTCCTAAGGCAACTTACTCAGTGCTAAAATCAGTATGGTTCCTGGCAGCAGGCCTGGCACATAGTAGGTGTTCAGTGTATTTCTGATGAATGGATAAATTAATGAGCAGGTTCATGTACAATTGTTGGTATCTGATAGGCCACTGCTCTGGTGTATCAGTAGGATTTGGTGAAAACCAACAGCTTAATCTAGACAAGCACCAAGGGGGCATTTCCTGAAGTAATGGAGGAGAAGGAGCATTTGTGGCCACTCTTACCTGTGTTCCTTTCCCCGGAGCCAAGCCATAGCTCTATATGATTTAGCTACAAAACATGTCAGTCTACCCTCAGGAAAGCGAAGACCAAAGAGAAAGAGGTAAGAAAACAGAAAAAAAGCTCTCAAGATGTTTTTGGCATGTGTTGTTTGCTTAATCCTCACAGCTATGGAAGCCCCCAAGCCCTCAAATAAGGTGAAGAGATGAAGACATGTGAATGGGGGGGAGGGGGGCTGGCCTTTTGTTTCAGAGCACACATGGCCTGCAAGTGGCTCAGGCAGGATTCATATACATGGCTCAGTCTGATTCCAATGCACACTGCTGATGTTTGAGTTAATAGGAGCATCCCAGTTGATTCTACATCAAAACCTCCTGCTTGCCTGGCATCACTCGGCTGTGTGAGACCTACTGAAGCCCCAGTTCAGATGCTTATTGCCATAGCTTCATAGAAGGGAAGCAAAGACATTTTAAGAAGTCCCACTCTTAAGCTGGACAGTGGCGCACATCTTTAATTCCAGCACTAGGGAGGCAGAGGCATGTGTATCTCTGAGTTTGAGGACAGCCTGGTCTATAGAGTGAGTTCCGGGACAGCCAGGCTACACAGAGAAACCCTGTCTCAAAAAATAAAAAGGAAGAAAAGAAATCCTGCTCATTCTTGTTTTTTTATTTGAGGGGGGATATGTTTGTTTTAGGCTAGACTTTCCCTAAATGGGACTTTGTTGAAAGAAAAACTTAACACAGAATGTCAAAAAGAAACAAATCATGAAAGAATACATAAGCTTTCATAAAATGATCATATTCATCTAACCAGCACCCAGACATGCTTGACTCCATCATGGCCAGCCCCATGGAAGTCCTCTCTGGTCATCAACGTGCCCACCCCACAAGATGATCATTATTTGCCTCTTGCATCATGGATTCATTTTTGCCTCTTTAGCACATTATAGAAATTGGATTATACTTTATTCCAAGTCTTTTGTGTAACTGTGTTTATTTGTTTGTTTTCTACCATATATATGCTTAGGAAATTTACCCTCCATGGTGCATGTTGTAATTTCTAATCGATTTGAGTTACCATGCAAACAGTTGCCACCTTCTCATGAGAAGAGAGTTCAATTACATGACACTCATAAGGGAAAAGATATTTGAACTTCTTTTCTATCAGACATCTTCCTAGTATATATGGAGCTGTGCTAGAGTTGTGTTTGGGTAGTATTCAGATAGCATTGAATTTGAAGGGAAGCTTATATTTGGGGTATGCTGTGATGTTTTCACTTCCTAATCGTGTGTGTTTGTGGGGGCAGGGCACTTACCTCCCTGAACTCCAACTTCTTCATCTGTATTGAGTGTTAAGTTTCAATTTAGACAGTATCAAGGTTGTAAGGGAGCCTCTGTCCCTCTCCTCCATGAAGTCAGGGGGTAATAAGATCACATTGAGCTCCCTACAGTGCAGGGCCAGTTTTTAGAGAACCTACAGTCTGTTGCCAACAGATCACCACCTTTGTAACTGCTCGTATCTATTACAGTGTTTTCTGACTGGGAGTAGCTGGCTGTATGTAACTATTCATAGGTTTCTAATTGCCATTTCCTGCTATAACTCTTTTCTGGGTCTGTCCTTTTTTTTAGTCCCTCCCTCCCTCTCTCTCTCTCTCTCTCTCTCTCTCTCTCTCTCTCTCTCTCTCTCTCTCTCTCACACACACACACACACACACACACACACACACACACACACACACACACACGTGCATACTACTACTGGATTAGAAGAATAGAAAATTAAGACTATGATCCCAAATAATAGGTGAGTGGAAAATTTATAAAAACAGGGAGGAAGGTAGAGCATTAACTGAATAAAAGAAGGTGATTCAGCAATTTGTACATTGGGATTGTATTTAATCTCTATGTATTTGTATGTGACTACATGTACATAAATGAAAAGGTTTATACTAGGATGTTAACAATGGGATCTACCACTGAGACTCAGACCATGTCAAGGTTTTCTCCGCTGCCCTTTCCTAATTTTCTACATTGTATCTGCATCTCATTGGTAATAAAAAAAATATATTTGCAAAATATATACCATAGTTAAAGGCTTATTGCCTGTTTTTGTGTGCATTCTCCTGTTCTGCATTCCCACAGAGAGCAGGAGAGTTCACTTGACCTCACTTTACATGTGAAGAAGTTTAGTTTTGTAGACCTTGGGTAAGTGGCCTGAGGTCAGGCACTGGGCAAGATGAATGTGAGGGTCACACCAGGCTTCTGAGGAAGTATTGCACAGCCTCCCTCTGCTGAGAGCTACGTTAGATGGACCAAAAAGGGAAGAGGAGACTCGAAACTGACAACATTGGGAAAGCAGTTGTGCAATTTTAAGTAGAAAAGACATGGTAAGAAGTAACTTTAAATGCTGCTTTTTCAGGAACACAGTTGCTTCTCTGCTCCAACCTGAATCCTCTTTAGCATAGAGCAAAATTCAATCCTGCCGGGAATCTGGAGGGCACTATTGTCTCTGATGAGTCGACTTCTGACTTTGTCCTTGGCTTGAGCCTTAATATAAATCAATCATACCCTCTTGCCTGTCTGTCACACAGAGGTGTTGCAAGGATTAGTGAACACTGTGGAGTTCCTTTGAGAAAAGAGCTATTTGAATATAATATATCATTATAAGATTAATATTAATTATAGTTTTTGTCCATTCATCAGATGCAGTACCTACCACCTTCCTACTGAAGGAAGAAAAGCTTCCTCAGCCTTTCTTGGAGGAATGAAGGGAAGAAGGCTGGCTTTTCCTGTGGCTTCTCTTCGAACGCTAGGCTTGATGACACCATTCATGATTGTAGTCCCTGTTCTTGAGACTTGCGTCTGTGGTGAGAGCATTGCTCTCTTCAGAACCATCTTATGCATGACAGGAACAGAGTCAGCCTTCTGGAAATGAACCTGTGTACTCACATAGATTGCTGCGTACAGATGAGCCCATGTTGGCTGCCTCAGAGCTCAGAGTTTATCTTGGAACTTGTGTTTTGCAAATGGAAGCTGACTACTTGTCTGTCCCCCTAGATAGATTCTCAAATGATTTGCTTGTTTGGTAGGTGTGTTTGGTTTGTTTGCTTGCTTGCTCTTTGCAGTGCTGAGGATTAAATATGGATGGGACCATGCCATTAGGCACACATGCTATATACCACTGAGCTGCATCCCCAGCCCGATTCTCTCAACCATTCTCTTCCTCTGATCCCTGGTATTCCAGAATCCATCCATCCTCCTTCTTCCCATCATCACCTGTGACTATTGCTTCCCACCATCTTCAGCAGAGGCTGGGTACAGGCACAAGAAGGATCTGAGTTGAGTCAGTGTGCTATGCTAAGTCTTCTGGTGGGGCATAGTTAAGAGCTGTCCATGCTCTGAGTTGGCAAGGGTACAAATATGGTAAACAAAGCCAGTGTCTCCATCAGCCAAACTTCTTACTAATCAATGTTCTAGTAGGCTTTTTATTGCTGTGATAAAGGCCATAGCCAAAAGCTACTTGGGTAGGAAAGGGTTTATTTGGCTAAAACTGATCACAGTCCATCCCATCCAAGATGGGAACTCAAGCATGGCAGGAACCTGGATGCAGGAACTCAATGGTGGAATGCTGCTGACCGTCATACTCCCCGTGACTCTCTCAGCTTTCTTTTTATATAACCTTGACCCTCAACATCAATCCTAAATCAAGAAAATGCCCCCACAGACTTGCCTACAGGCAATCTGATGAGCACATCTTCTCAATTAAGGTTCCCTCTTCCCAAATGTCACCAGCACAATCTCTGACCTAGGTACCCAGCAGGTCTCAGTGAAGGAGTAGCAGTACCCTTCGGACTCTACTGGAAAACTGAATGGTTGTGTGCTTGTGCTGTGAAGTAAGACACTGGAAACCCCCTCGCCCATCACTCGTAATGAGGAAAAATACTTGCCTTGCCTTTTCCCAGGCCAGGCAAAGCACAACAACCTGGCTGCTGCAGGAGGGGTTGCCAGCAGTCGGTGAGCTGTATGCACACCCTCAGTCATAGGAAGCAGCACCTCAAGTCTCCTGGAGGGTCTGGCCTCCCTTCATGGTATTCCCATGCCTGAAAGAACATGATATTAGGTGAAACTCACCAAGCCACTCACTAACTGAGGCAAAGGTACCACCATAATGTAAAATGTCGGTTAGTAATGAGGAAAACAGGATGCAAGAATGTAGGGACTCTATTACCTTTGCAGCTTCTCTGTCTGTCTGAAAGTATTTTAAAATAAGAATTTCATGGGGTGGGGGCGATGACAGAGAATGCAGAAGGAAGGAAAAAACCTCCATGCTCAAGCCCCCGCTCCCACGTTCTCTTTCCTAGGGTTTGGCCCAGAGGCCTTGCACTTTCATTTTGCCCCAGGCCCTGCAAAAATGTGCTGCAGCTCTTCACTGAAAAACCTCTCACCAAATGTACAGTTCTGCTGTCTGGCTTCCTCCTCACACCCTTGTCCTCTCTCATGCTGGGCCTTTGGGTTTCTTTGCTTGCCAGGACTAACTGCTCCCACATCCTGCTCCCCTACCTACTGAACCCCAGCTTCTTTACTAAGCGCTGTATACATGCTTATACCTTTTCTCTTTATAATTTGAAGAGGCATACCCTCCTTTTACAGCTGTAGGGCATGGGTGTCTGAGATCACACAGTAAGAGTTCAAAGAGAACGCCAACCTGCCTGGTTCTTGCTGCAGAGCTGGTGCTTTCCCACCACATTGTATGCGAGCTAGTCTGCCTCACCAGTGCCCAAGGCTCTGCAAGCAGCTTGCCCAGGCACTTCATCTCCATCTGGACTGGTATCGCCTGGGTGTCTGCCGGGTCCCAAACACCTGGCTGTGTGTGGTTCAAGGGCTACAAAGCCACAAGGTGGAGGCCAGTGCTAAGCTACACTTGCCATTTTCCTAGTTACAACCCTGAGTAGCAAGTGTTAGAACGTCCCTCCCTCCCACTTGTGTCCCCCTCTGCCTTAGTTGTGATAAGCAGGGCATGCAATCTTGACTGTGGGGTAAGGATTTGGAAAATATATATACAGAGACAATATGTGAAATTATGAAAGAATTAATAAAAACATTTTAATACATAAGCAGCTATTATGAGGGGGAAAGAATTTGGAAAGTGACCAATCTAACAGAATTTCAAGATGAAATAGTCTTTACTATACATATACATATACATATATATACATATACATATATATACATATACATACATATACATACATATACATACATATACATATATAGTGATTAGCCTGAAGAAGAAAAGATGCAGGATGCAGGAGCAAGATGCTAATAGGCTCTGTCAGCCAGGCGCACATACATCTCAGGCTGCACTGACATTAGCAACACTGCACAGGTATCACTTGCAGCAATCAGGTACTGTGGTATACCTCTGAAAGGGTCTCCCTTTCAGTGCTTCTGCTGGCATGCTCCTGTGTTTTCTCTGTGAAGCTGGAGTGGAAATCAGATCCCCTCCTCTTGGTGGAGAAATGTGCCTTGCGCTATTTTATCTCACAGTCACTCTGTGTATCTGCTGATCCCAACAGCTTTGCACAAACTCCTCCTTTCCTGGCTGGCCTGCTGAATGTCTGGTCCCAGTTACAGAGGCTGCAGGTGGTGATGTGGAAGGCAGCTGGGGAGTGAGGCAGGGAGTGGGGGTGTGAGGGCTCTGTCCCTTCAGACAAAGCTTTCTTGAAGTATTCCTCTAAGGAAACAGGGGAGGAAGGGGTGCTGTGGGACATAGGAGAAAGAGAGAGAGAGAGAGAGAGAGAGAGAGAGAGAGAGAGAGAGAGAGAGAGAGAGAGAGAGAGAGAGAGAGGAGAATCTTGGAGTTGAGGCAGCCTTGCAAAAGGCAAGGCATGTGCATGTCTGGCTTGAAAATAGTTTTATTGAAAACACCTAAATTCTTGTCTGCATGTTGAAGAGTGTGGAAACGAAGATGGAGGGAGTCACCTCCGGTGGTTTTTGTGGGTTTTCACGTATGACATACAGGATGTTGAGTTTTA